ACTTTATAAAGAGCTCTCTGGGGCAGCCACTGACACCGCTATCATGTGTCGGCGTCGCCCCACAGTCCTTCTCTTTGCATGGGTCAGGTGCAAAGAGAAAAAATGACCTTGGCTTTCCAGAAAGAATGTTGTTATGGCTACCTATTGACTTAGCCAATTCCAGCAACCATTCTTTATAGGTTTCAGCCTCCAGCCTGCCTGCTAATCATCTTTGTGGCTCTTCTTTGAGCTCTTTATAAAGTCTCGGCATCTTTTTTTATATCGTGGCAGCCAAACCTGGATGTAATATCCCGAGGGTGGCCTTACCGAGGCATACAACCTGGTGCATGGGTTATTATTTGTTTTGTGTGTTTTCAAGGATGTGCAGAGAGTAATTAGCCACCCTCTCCTCCCCCCCCCCCCAATGGGAATTACGCTGCCTTGAGCTCCTGAGCGGAAAAGCAGAAAAGCAGAAACCAGCCCGGGCTCTCTTACCTTTTGTGAAACTTGGCTCAGCAGCAGTGCTGTGTGGCACACCTTGTTGTTGGATTTTTTCAGCTCGGACCGCAAATCCCGGATGACGTTGGAGCAGTCTTCCAGTTTGGTCTAGTCAAGCCATAAAAACATCCGTTCGTCCAGTTTACGCAAGGATACCAATCATAATTGAATCGTCTATAAAGCTAAAGGTTCCCCTCACACATCTGTGCTAGTCGTTCCCGACTCCAGGGGGCAGTGCTCATCTCCGTTTCAAAGCCGAAGAGCCAGCGCTGTCCAAAGACGTCTCCATGGTCATGTGGCCAGCATGACTCAAGGCCAAAGGCGCACAGAAGGCTGTTTCCTTCCCACCAAAGGTGGTTCCTATTTTTCTCCTTGCATTTTTTACCTGCTTTTGAACTGCTAGGTTGGCAGAGGCTGGGACAAGTCACGGGAGCTCACTCCATTATGCGGCGCTAGGGATTCGACCCGCCGACCTTTCTGATCGACAAGCTCAGCGTCTTAGCCACTGAGCCACCATGTCTATATCCAGCCTTTATTATTTTTAGAATAAAGTTCAAGAAGGCAAATGCACACTCTACTCTTTCGTCCTATTTTCCCCCCCATTAAAAAAAAAAAACCAATCCTGTGAGGTGACTTGGGTTGAGAGCGACTGGCCCAAAGTCAGCCAGGCAGCTTTCATGCCTAAGGTGGGACTAGAATTCTCAGTCTCCTGGAGATTGCCTCAGTCAGCTTTCAGGCCTAAGGCAGAACCTTTTCCTGGCGATTGGCCCAAAGACACCCACAGCTGTTTTTCCTAAGGAGGGACTTGAACTCGCAATTTCTTGCTTTCTGGCTTGGGGGCCTAAGCAGTAGACCAAACTGGGATGAATCTAATGGGGTGAATCTGTTTCAGATTTGGGTTAATGTCAGGGTTCCAAATAGCATCCAAAATTAAATCAGAGTCCAAGGCAAAGTATTCCTCAAAGTT